CAGATGAAAGTGTCAGGTGTGGGCCTGATCTGGGCCTCAGGAATTTTGCTCTCTGGGATTGCTCATAACTGCAGGAAGTGTTTAGTGTGCATGATGAAGAAGGTGTTTTCATTTCACATCAAAACCACAGAGATGAGCTGGAGGTTCAGAGTCTCAGTTTAATTTGGTTGTGAAGAACTAACGGTCTTTATTCAGGAAACCCACATGAGACTCAACAGAGAGAAGAAGTAGAGCTGTGTGCAAGTCTGCACAAGAGAGACTAAAATGTGCTTTTTTCCCCTATAATATATAATTTAGTTTAATTTGATCAATCAAACGTGTTCCTAATGCATTAAGATTAATTAACACTCAGTGTGTGTTTTATTCTCAGATTTCTCCGTGATCATCATTATTAGTGTGTGTGTGATTCTGCTGCTGATCGGTGGATTCACTCTGACTGTGTGCAAATTAAGACACAACAGACGAGGTGATACTTGGTTTCATTATTTATCTCTTGCATCGTTTAATTAAATAGTTTGAGTGTCTCTGAGCTGCTTCAGTAAATCTCACTCACTCAATGAGTTTCTGTCTCAGATGCTGCTGACATTTAATGTTGATTGAGTTTGTCTTTCTCTCACTGATCAGTTCATTTTGTTTTGGGTAATTAGGAAGAATCTCGACATCAGACAAGAGAAAGAGGAAGAAAAATACATTAGTGAGTTACAGTTTGTGTGTGTCTGTACATATATTGTGCTTATGAGATATTTTCTCATTTTAAAATACATTTTCTCTCTATTTTATCTGCATTCAGTCATCATGTGCAGACAGCAGACGTGATTCTCTCTCAGATCCTGGATCAGCTCAAATGAAGAAACATGAATTACCCACAATCCCCTCTGATGAGCTCCTGTACGCTGCTGTCAGTTTCCAGAAGCATGAAGAGTCTCTCAGTGACGCTACAGTCAGATTCAGTAAGAATGAGATTCACTCGGATTACACCACGATCAGATTCACCGCATGAGACTCAACTAACTCACTTATAACAGATCATCACACGTTACACCAATATTTTATAAAAAAACATACTATGATATATATATAAATATATATACAGTAGTCAACATTTGAAGTGGATCAAAACCTTTAATCAAAGTTGTCCTAAAACCTAAAACCAAAATGCGTTCTTGTCTTAGGACAACTTTGATGAACTTTTCTGATACACTTCAAATGTTGACTACTATATATTACATTTGTTTACATTAGTAATTTTTTAGTGTTGAGCAGTTGTTTGGTTTGATGAGGGTCGTTCAGTTCAGTTTGTGAATCATGAGACACTTTAAAGTTTCCGCTGCTGCTCATGTTGCTTCTTTCGCATGTTTAAAATAGTTTGTTATGTCAGTTTATGTGAGGGTGTGATGAACACAGGAAATAAAACCCTTGACTGACACTTCTAGAAGATACTGTAAAACTAACTCACTTATAACAGATCATCACACGTTACACCAATATTTTATAAAAAAACATACTATGATATATATATAAATATATATACAGTAGTCAACATTTGAAGTGGATCAAAACCTTTAATCAAAGTTGTCCTAAAACCTAAAACCAAAATGCGTTCTTGTCTTAGGACAACTTTGATGAACTTTTCTGATACACTTCAAATGTTGACTACTATATATTACATTTGTTTACATTAGTAATTTTTTAGTGTTGAGCAGTTGTTTGGTTTGATGAGGGTCGTTCAGTTCAGTTTGTGAATCATGAGACACTTTAAAGTTTCCGCTGCTGCTCATGTTGCTTCTTTCGCATGTTTAAAATAGTTTGTTATGTCAGTTTATGTGAGGGTGTGATGAACACAGGAAATAAAACCCTTGACTGACACTTCTAGAAGATACTGTAAAATTTCCACTCCACATAAAGACACACATCAGCTTTTAACGGTTAATAAAGACTCTTTAATAGCAGCTCTTAAAGCTGTTCAAATGACTGTCTTTGACCTGCTTTAGATTTGTACATGCAAGACACTTTTTTTTTTAAGTTCATGCTTGCTCTTGGTCATTTTTCTGAAAGGAGAGTTTTATATATGTTACAACAAAACAAATCCTTTGCTATTATTTCTTTTTTCTCAAAGCTGCTATTTAAAGTTGTAGAATTAGAGAGATTATTTTCATATATATTTTTTAATATTATATTTGAATTGTCAAACATTGTCATTGCACGGCATTGAATCTCATTAACAGCTTTAACATAGACGATGACTGAATCTAGTTTTCATACTGATGAAATGAAATCTTACCAGATCCCAGAGAGACATCCAGAAATGCATTAAAATAATGATCTAATTATCATCATGAAAGAAGTTTGTACTTTTTGCAAAGGAGAACATTTGAGTCTGATTGTATGCATTTTATTTTGTATCACCCTCAGGCCTGATCAAAATATTCACATACAAACTAATCATATCATTTAAAGTCTGAACTGTATTTATTTGAATTTTTTTTTTATTATTTGTTGTTATTGTGATATTCAGAGACTTGAAAATGACATGTTTGATGTTTTCTGTCTCAAAGGTGTTTTCGTGTTTGCGTGATAAACAAGCTGTTTTTCCATCCATTTCAAAACCACCGAAAACTGGTGAAGGTTCAGTGTCTCAGTTTGGTTTGAGTGTGAAGGTTAAACAGCTTTATTCAGGAAACCCACAGCGAGACACATGAACACAGAGAGACAGAAGATGAGCATTTATTGTGAACAGAAGAAAATAAAGACAAATTCAGTTATTTGCATTCAACAATTACTGAACATGTTCTTTTCTTATCAAAAAATTATCCATGTGTGATTTGACATTTTCTTTCAAAAACAGAACAAACTAAATCAAAACATTGAGCTCACAAATCACTGACAGAGAATGTCTGTAATCACCCTTTAAATGTCATACATTTGTATTGTTAGTATGTCAGTACACTTTAAACAAGCAACATCTTCAAGATTTACTTTATATTTCACTGTGTTTTATTTAAGATTTTTCATTATTATATTTCTGGTCAAATTCAAACTATCATAGCATATCTTTGTTTTCTGAATTCAAGGGGGAAAAAAAGAAGAAAAAAAGAAAACCTCTTTAACCCAGTTTCTTTACTAGGATAAAGTAAATTGCTTGTAAAAGTCTCAGTGCTTTGTGTTTGCAGAGTTGTTTATTACACTAAGTGTTATAATGATCATCAACATGAGATGCTTTCCAGCTTGTGGTTTTGTTTTACACTATTTATATTCCTTCGGCCAAACCAAAACCCTTCAGCCGCCTGCAGGTGTGATTTAAAAATGAAATGTTTACCGTAGTAACGATGGACACAGACTTTCCACTCCATAGAAAAGATGCTGTCAAATTGGTTACATTTGTTTTTATTATTAAAAATAATTATATATTTTTGTATTTGTCATGCATCCCAGCTATTCAGAATCCAGCTATTGTGCTCCAAAATATTTTAGTCAGGTCAGAGTTAAGTGCATATTGCACTAAATCTATTTTTGTTAATAAATACAACCAACTGCAATCATAAATAAGTGTGCAATATAAAAGATATTTTTGCTTTTCAAATGATAAAAATACAACTATAAGGCCCGCTTCGCATTCTGTAGCACTGGTACATTTTACATTGTTTCACACTGCCGTTCAACTTTATTCTGTGATGAAAAGATGTAAACATTCTCAGTAAGACAGAGTGTGAATTAATAATGAGCAGTGTTTGCATGTGTGTCTTATTTAGATTCTGAATAAAAAAATGGCTTGATGACGATACGCACCAGAGCCAATTAAGTTTTGACTCCTCCCTTTTCTCCTTATATGGTGTTGCGCGTCTGTTTGAATGAACACAAAGTTCGCGGGTGAATCAAAATTTGAAGTGACAGGACAGAGAGAGAAAAATGTTATGTGAGTAATCAATTAAATATATATTATGATAATATAAATGACCCATTCAAAGACCAGTGAAGGTATACTGCCAGTTAGTGATATAGGCTATGTTTGGGCATGAGGTTGTGGGTTTGTGCACTCATTTCAAAATTATATAAATATCCACAGGGTTGGTTTAGTTTGCAATTTGGATTATTTTTTTTAAAATAATAGTAAATGCAATTGCAACTATTTCTGAAGTGCTTCTTGTTGGAAAGCACAGTGTTACCACAATGTTTTTCTGTTGGACTTGTGTAAGCCCAAGGTGTTATTTTTATTTATTTATTTATTTTTCTCTGTTCTGTTAAAAGCTGTTAAATTATTAAGCAGTGTCTCGTGTAGTTTTTTATCCTTGTATTTTATGTGGTGACCACTGGGTGGTGATCTTGGCATATTTTTATAACTATTCATTTTTTTCTTTCTTGGTTTTCTTCCCTGGCGTGATGTATGTTGCAAAGTGAAAGTAAAAGTTTCACGCAAGTTTGTTGCATTCTAACAGGAAAGAGTTCCGTGTCTTTACTTAAAATCAACACTTTCTCACATAACGCAGTGAAGCAGCCTGTGCATAGAATGAATAATCAATTCTCGAGCCATTGATATCAACCAATTCAGCAGCACTGCCATGGACAGCACCTGGTAACGTCACACGTAAGAAGGTATATCTTAAGCAACCTCCTAAGGTATAGTTCGGGGAACACGCCTATATATGGTATACCTTTAGTTAAGGCATACCTTTAGAGTCTTCGTAGCGCGCTAAGAGACAGTGTTATCGGGAAACGTAGCCCTGAAGTGTGAAATCAGGTGTGTTTGACCAGAAACACTGTAGATAGAATTCAAGTGTTCAGATTTAAACACATTTGCCGCCTTATAGCACAAAACTTATGGTTGTCCATATGGCAACAGTTGTATTTGGAACAATGTAAATGTATGATATTATTTTATACACATACCGTCCACGGGCGCCGCAGCAATATGGCTGCCCACTGTATCGGGTGTGTGTTCACAGTGTGTGTGTGTTCACTACTGTGTGTGTGCACTTGGATGGGTTAATGCAGAGCACAAATTCCGAGTATGGGTCACCATACTTGGCCACACGTCACTTCACTTTAAAATATTTATCCTGCAAGTGTGATCATATCTGTTTTCTTCCAAAAAGTGTTAATGTTTCTTACAACTGATAAAGATGCCAAAAAAAATGTCAAACAAAGCATTTTTGATTTCCCAGGGAGACAGGAAGATGATGCTATTTAATAAATACATGAAGACACTCATTATAATCTCTGTTTATGAGAATAGATAAGCCTTTGTAACTCAACATGTTCCTGATGTATGAATATTGTCAGTTGTATATCTGTACTACATATTTTTTTTTTTTCACATTTTCTTTTGTCACTCCCCTGGATTGTCTTTGTGTGTTTTTCTGCCCATGTTCTCCCTGTGACCTATTTTATCCCTTGTGTTAATTGTGTTTATTGATTCCAGGTGTTTCTTGTTAATTTCCTTGTTTAGTTCCTAGTATTTAAGTCCGGCGTTTTCCTTTGTCCTGCGTCTAGTGTTATACGTCAATTCCCCGTGCTGCGTGTGTGTTCCTGCCTGTGAGTCTTTGTTGGAGTTAATAAAGACTGTTCCTTGTAAATTCTCTGTCGTCTCCGCACTCCTCGTTCTTACACAGCAACATAACGGTGACATCTTTATACTTTATACGTTTTTTTTAACCTTTAATTTTAAATTATTTTAAATGTTCAAGATGTCTTGTAAGTTTGCTGAGGTCTTAGACGCCTTACGGCCTTGACCAGAAGTATTGGCAGTAACAAATTTTGTGTTTTGCAAAGTTAAATAAATAAATAATTGTGTTTCGCGATCACTGCCATTAATGGTATCAAAACGTACTGCAAGAGCAATTTCTCCCAACGACCCAGGAGCAATTTGGTGATGATTTGTGCACTTTCCAGCATGATGGAGCACCATGACACAAGGCAAGAGTGAAAATGAAGTGGGTCAGAGATCAGTACATTGAAATGTTGGATCCATGGCCAGGCAACTGCCCGGATCTTAATCCCATTTTTTTCCCATTCACTTGAGGGTCATTTGTCCTTATATCAAGAACATAAAACCTGTTTAAGCTTTCAGTATCAGACAGTGTAACTGCACTAGGTGGCGCTCTTTCAGTGTGATTAATGTGATGTTCAGTCAGTGGTGATGGTGGGAGGAGCCAGTAAAGCTGCTCATTACTGATAAAGAGCTGAATAAAGAGGAAGTAACTAAAGCAGACAGATGTAGAGACAGAGAGATTCACACAGAGATCATTCAGCAGAAAGAAGACTGAACTCAACTCACAATGAAGATCCTCCTCATCTTCCTCACTTTCTACCTGATCTCAGGTCAGAGCTTTTCTCTTTCATCACTGCAGTAATGATGCTGTTTTCTGTTCATCAGCTTTCTGATCACAGTATCAATCTGATTGACAGCTGCAGTGAGATGCTTTAGCGTCACGGGATATTCTGGAGGAAGTCTTCTTGTTGATTCTGGGAAACTTTGGTTCCGTGCAAATGTTAAATGCATGAATAAATTACCTGAGTGGACAAATATAATGAATAATACGAAGCATGACAAATGGATCAGTGTTGGAAAATTCACATTGTTTCAAAATAATGAGGGAAACCTCACGATCTACATCAGAGATTTGAAGGAACATGATGCTGGAGGATACTGGATTGGTGTTCTTTACAAGTGGGGTATAGATATGACTTTACATGTGGAAGAAGGTCAGTCATTTTAATCTGAATCTACTGACCATTTTAAAGCCTTTACTAAAGTAAAATATATTTATTTGTTATGTAAATGGCAGATTCATGTTGTAAAGTGTCAAAGAGAGTGATGGTGAATATTGGAGAAACTGCCAATTTCAGCTGTGAATATTCACAGAATCATATTAATGATCCCAAGATCATATTCAAAGAAGAAAAAGACTCCATTGAGACGATTTACAGCAGATGGAAGAAAGAAAGATTCAGTATTTCTGATGACAAACATAAAAACATCTTCAGTGTGAGAATCACTGCTGTGACACCAGATGATGGAGGAGTTTATTTATGTGGAGTTTGGATCAACAGAGACTCGTACAGTTACTTCATTATTAACACTGTTCATCTACATATTATGAGTGAGTAGAACAAACTCTCATTGAAATCTTGTTTCTGAAATTTGCTTTTGTGGCAGAATTGATTAGATGTTATATTTGTGAGGAGTCTGAGTGTCAGCTTCATGGTTTTGTTAAGTGTTTTGTTTCAGTTCTGTTCCGCCTCCCTGTCAGGATTTGAGTTTCCTTGTTTTGTTTTGTTTTGTCCCCCTCAGTTACTGATTCTGTTCACCTTTTTGGTTAATTATCTCATTAATTCTCTTTCTCGGGGCAGTTGTGGCCTAATGGTTAGAGAGTCGGACTTGTAACCCGAAGATCGCAGGTTTGATTCTTAGTGCGGGCAGGAAATGTAGGTGGAGGGAGTGAATGAAGAGCGTTCTGTTTCACCCTCATTACCCACCACTGAGGGGCCTTGAGCACCACAGCATATGGCTGCGTGTTTGTGTGTGTTTTCACTTCTCACTGCTGTGTCTGAGTGTGTGTTTTCACTTCTCACTGATGTGTGTGTGTGTGCACTTGGATGGGTGAAATGCAGAGCACAATTTCCTATAGCCAAGTATGTTGTCCCACATGCCTCACTTTCACTTTTTTGTTATTTTTTTTTGTTTCTTGAGATCTTTGTTCAGTGTTGTCTATTGTTGGTTGTGTTTACTCCTATGTTTCCTGGTGTTTTCTGAGTTGGATTATTGAATTAAAGTTCCTTTTAAATATTTGCTTGCTCTTTGCTTAATAAATCACAACAGTGCATGACACTGAGCAGTTAAAGTATTATTCGTTATGCTAGATACCAAATATAGAAATGTTTTATAAGCACAATAATTAATGGACAATTTTGCTTTTTTTTTTTTTTTCAAGGGCCTCCAGTAGTGAGACATGAAGGAGAATCTGCTGAGATCATCTGCCCTTATGATTCAATCTATAAATCAAAGTCAAAGTCTCTCTGTAAGGGGACGTGCTCCACTAGAGACAGACATACTCTCAGTGAGACTGTGAGAGAAGAGAAAGAGAGCAAGACTGGCAGATTGACTCTGAATGATAACGTCACTGCACGTGTCTTCACTGGGACCATCACTGGACTGACAGCAGAGGATGCTGGGAAATACTGGTGTGCAGTGACATTAGAAACAGACCTCAATTATCTTTACACTCATCTGATCGTCATCATGAACGAGGGTGAGGAAGGTTTCTGCATCTGAATATGTGAAACTATGGCTGTGAATTGATGTTCTTGTGTCTGTAAACATTTCCAGAGCTGAACTTGACTAAGTATGAAGGAGACGACGTGTCAATCCAGTGCAAACATCATGATGAAGATCAGAAAAGCTTCTGCAAAGCACATGAAGCCTCCATGTGTGTGAAGGATGGAGTTTCATTGGAGACGATCAGAGATGATCGATTCTCTTTCAGTGATGAAGCATCTACTGGAGTCTTTACTGTGAACATCACTGATCTGAGAGAAGAGGATTCTGGGATATACTGGTGTGGAGCTCACGTCATCACTAAAGTCAATCTCACTGTTAAAACAGGTAAGAAATATTTAGATAAAATGAAGACATGTCTTTTGACAGTGTTCATGACTTACAAAAACAACTGAAAACATCAGAGCAGCTTTATGTTCATTCATAAGTGTGTAATCTGTTGTCATTTTCATGTTCATGTTGTGTATGTTTATGTCTGTACATGCTTATTTCTCTCTCGTTACAGGATAACTCTGTATGTGTGTTTTATTTTCAGATTTCACCCTGTTCAACATGATTTGTGTTTCTTCAGCTCTGATGCTGATTGGTGGATTCTCTCTGATTATGTGTAAATTAAACCTTAATGAGATCATAGTGTTATATAAAGCAGATGATAATCACTACTGACTAATCCAATCCCTAGAATAAAGGACAAAATGTTTTTGTCCAAATGAGGGCAACCCAAATTGTCTTCAAAGGGATGTTTTGTTTCAGTTGTGTTGTGAATGTATGGATGAGCTCATCATCAGACAGATGAGACTGGTCAATCCATGTCTTCTGCTAAATTATTGTGTTTCATCTGTATGTTTAATTCTCCACATTCTGACTCCAATTCTGGAGCAGATCCACTTGTTTCATCCTCTGACAAACATCTCTACACCTACCGGAAAACATTAATTTTCCAGAAGTGTGAAGACTGTCATCCATGATGATACAATCATCTCCTGTAGGAAGGAAGTTTACTCCGTTTACTTCACTGTCAGTCACAATACAAGATCATCTCACCTTACAAGCAGTTGTTTAAATGTTTTTAAAAATGTTTTATATAATAGACAGTTTGTTTGATTAACGTGTTCAATCAAATGTGTTAATAATTTCAGAAAAAAATAATCTCTAGTATTTTTAGTAGGTTAAAGAGATTTGCTTGGAAAAGTCCCTCAAGTTTTGTGCCTGAGTTAATGTTTTATACTATGACCGTGTGTTAAATATCAGCCTACGTGCTCTCCAACTTGTGGTTTTCTTTGCTGTTCTTTGAGTCATAACCAAGAAGCCCTTCAGCCACATTCAGGTGTGATAAAAACAGGAAACCGTTTCTTTAGTACAAATGGACAGATATGTTTCCACTCCGCAAATACGTGCTATAAAGTTTTGTTATATATTGAAAATCAAATATTTTAATTCCAATTTTTATACAAAACTGTTTTATTCTTGCCATCTGAAATACTCTGTGATGATTAGAGAATTTAGAAAAAATCTTCCAAAACATATTTTCCATACAGTATCTGTGTCCCACCCTATACATCTCTTGTATGGTGGCAGTTTTTGTTATGGACTCTATGCATTCAAATGTGCCACGATGACAAAATACGCGAGGGCTAATGAGGTTTAAAGAGGTGGTTCACTGTTTTTTTTCTAGGCTTGATTGTGTTTATGGGGTGCAGTTTAACATGTGTTAATGCTTCGTTTTAAAAAAAACGCATTATTTTTCACATAATTTACCTTTATTCCACAGCGCTCTATCCCTTCTCTCAGAAACAGTCTGATCATTTCCTTCTTTTATGAAGCCCCTCCCTCAGAAATACACGATGGGCTCTGATAAGCGATCTTTAACAGACATCTTGCAGACGTACCTGTGCTCTCTGGGCTGATGTAAGTTAAAGTATTCATTTTTAAATAAGTTTGGTTTTAGTTAGTTGTGTGATGTTGTAACAGTCACCACTGTTTCTTTTGTACCGAGGATTTCCCCTCAACTGTATCGTAAAAAGGTTAATTACTCGAAGCTTTTCAAGACGGTGCACACTAACGACATCTTGTGGTCAAAAGGTGGAAAAAGCTGCCTTTGCGTCCCAGACGACCCAGCCATTTTTGGACTGTTTCAGATAATAAATTAGTTTGTGCTATGAAAACCTGTATAAAGCAAAGAAAATATGAAGTCTATATAAATAAGTCTTCATGTCAGTCATTGTATTACACAATATGAATAAATTAGTCTGTGAATAAATTTGTGGAAAAAATAGGCAAGGCTGTATGATCAAAATAACGGAAGATTATCATAGAATATTGGTTAGTTAAAGTGTCTCTGAACCAGGAATTAATACAAAATGACCATGCAGAAAACTACACATGCAAATATTTATTCGTATTATGATTTACTTTGGACGTCACAGATCACGTGGTTTTGGCAAAACGAATCAAGCTCTGGTACAGTGCTTCACTGTGAGAGGTTTCGTTTTTTTGATACAAGTTTCGAAGCCTCGGTGTCGAACGTCACATCACTAGTGCCAACCATCAACAATGAGGTTGAAAAGAGTAAGGACTATTTCATCCTGATTATTCATTTGGACTGATTTTTCTTGGGATATACCTTGATGCTTGTTCTGGAATGGGAAATGGATGCTTAATATGGACATTAACCACTGTGAGCTTCAACAACAATGTTCATCTATGATTCTCTACTCCTTTAAGAAGAGTGTTATAAGGTAGTGTGGTTTCATGTCTGTATGTGATCAGGTTCAATGGTGTATTTGTCTGTGTTTTTTTGTTTTGTTTTATATTGTACTGGGGTTAAAAAGGAAAAAAAAAACTTTAAAATATAGTTGGTGGATGATCCTCCTCAGATTTTGTGTGACTCTGGTTGTTTTATTATAGCTGGTGTTACATAAATTGGCGCCAGAACAGGGACCTCCTTGACTTAATCCATTTTTACCCTGGCACAATGTGTGTGTGGTCATTTTTCAAAAGTGTTCTTGTCTTTATTCACATGGTACTTATGTGTTATGGGGATACTTTTGAATGATGTTTTGTGAGTGTTATAATTTTTTTTTGCAGATGTAATCTTAATGAGTACAGATTGTTGTCGCCCTCTCCAGAAAATATAAAATGGCCACATTTAATGATGAAGTAGAAGATGGGTCCGTACCGAGCATAGATCCAGATTTTACAGCCGGCCCCTTTGTCACTCGACGTGAGCCATTACAATAACTTATTCAGTCACTGGGTAGTCTGTATCTAGAATACGATAATGACGCAGAAATTTGTGATGAAGGAGAATTAGAACTTTTGCCACCACCACCTCCTCCTCAGGTAGATGAAGACGAAGAGAGTCTTATTAGTTTGGCTATAGCCTCACAGGTCCATCGTCTAGAGGTTAGGTTAGATATGTTAGAAGCTGATTCTGCAAAATATGTTAAAGACATAGAATTGATTGTCCAGAGAGCCATTCAACCCATAGGTAGTCAATTAAGTAATTTACAACGTCAAATACAAGATCTAGATAAACAACAAGAAAGTCTAAAACAAATGCAGAAGCGACAAGGAACTGAAATTGATGAGAAGTTGGCTAGAATTGTTAAAAAAGAGAGTAACCCGGTGAAACAGAAATGTGAATGTGTTATGGGGATACTTTTGAATGATGTTTTGTGAGTGTTATAATTTTTGTTTGCAGATGTAATCTTAATGAGTACAGATTGTTGTCGCCCTCTCCAGAAAATATAAAATGGCCACATTTAATGATGAAGTAGAAGATGGGTCCGTACCGAGCATAGATCCAGATTTTACAGCCGGCCCCTTTGTCACTCGACGTGAGCCATTACAATAACTTATTCAGTCACTGGGTAGTCTGTATCTAGAATACGATAATGACGCAGAAATTTGTGATGAAGGAGAATTAGAACTTTTGCCACCACCACCTCCTCCTCCTGTAGATGAAGATGAAGAGAGTCTTATTAGTTTGGCTATAGCCTCAAAGGTCCATCGTCTAGAGGTTAGGTTAGATATGTTAGAAGCTGATTCTGCAAAATATGTTAAAGACATAGAATTGATTGTCCAGAGAGCCATTCAACCCATAGGTAGTCAATTAAGTAATTTACAACGTCAAATACAAGATCTAGATAAACAACAAGAAAGTCTAAAACAAATGCGACAAGGAACTGAAATTGATGAGAAGTTGGCTAGAATTGTTAAAAAAGAGAGTAACCCGGTGAAACAGAAATGTGAGTCCAGCATAAAGGAACTGCGTGAAGCCATAATGAATTGTTTGAAAAGAAGAGATGCCAAGTTGAAATCTTTGATTCAGTCAACTCCTGTAGCTATGTCCACTCCGGTGACACACCTGGCTTCAACAGCATCGGCTGTCCCAACATCTGGTAGCTGCTTTCATTCTTTTCCCAATAAAGCTGCGATCAAACTTGAATTTCCAAGGTTTGGAAGCATGGAAGGGGAAGATCCTATTGACTATTTGGAGAAATGTGAGGAATATTTAGATCTTTGATTCAGTCAACTCCTGTAGCTATATCCACTCTGGTGACACACCTGGCTTCAACAGCATCGGCTGTCCCGACATCTGGTAGCTGCTTTCATTCTTTTCCCAATAAAGCTGTGGTCAAACTTGAATTTCCAAGGTTTGGAAGCATGGAAGGGGAAGATCCTATTGACTATTTGGAGAAATGTGAGGAATATTTAGCTGTTTGGCCAATGAGCGACAGTGAAATATTAGCATAACTTCCATCAGTTTTAACCCATACTGCTAAAGACTGGTGGGTAGCTGTTAAAGCTCATGTAAAATCATGGAATCAGTTTAAAAAAATTTTTTTGCAGTCATTCCTCTCGGAAGATCATAAAGTTGAGGCGGAAAGGAGAATTTGTAAACGAAAATAAAGAGTAGATGAAAGCATTAGAACCTTTGCCTTTCAGTACAGAGCTTTGTGTTTGAGACTGAAACCACTATGACAGAAAAGGAGATATTACAAGCCACTTTGCGGAATTGTAATCCAAGGGTTGCCAGTATCTTAAGGGGAACTGTGACATCGGTGGATGAGCTAGTTAAAGTAGGTACACTGGTGGAACGTGATCTGGCAGAAGAAAGAGCTTTTTGGAGGCAGCGACAGGCTGAACAAGCTCCAAGGGGTAATGGAATGAACAGACCAAAACATGGGCGAACACAAGGCCATCCCATTGCTCTTTGTGTTTGAGACTGAAACCACTATGACAGAAAAGGAGATATTACAAGCCACTTTGCGGAATTGTAATCCAAGGGTTGCCAGTATCTTAAGGGGAACTGTGACATCGGT